CACACACACACACACACACACACACACACACACACTGCCGTTAAAAAAATCGATGGACGTAAACAACGTACTAGCTACTAGAAAATGATACGGCCGCGTTATCGCGTTATCGCGTTAACGTATGTTTATATCCGTTGAAATATTTATACCGATTTATATTTTCATAAACTTGTTTTTCAAATTGACAAAAGAAATTTTAAAGAAATTTTAAAATTGATAAAATTTAAATCGCTTCCGCGCGATCTGCAATCTGGTGTGTTCATTGTCGAATCTTTTTTTCTATAAAAGCGTTTCTGGAAAGAGGAAGGGCTGAGACCGGAAGCGGTTTGTGCATTGTTAACCGATGAGACTCGTTAATGGTTCTCCGTGATAACAACAAGGACAATAACTTAGTCGTTAGTCGGCCCTGAGTAGTATTGTCTGTAAGGTAGTAACATTTCTTTTGTATTTATCGGCATACATCCGGTCTCACGGCAGGAAGGCCGCTGACGACGCGTGAAAAAACCGGTATATTTCGTGCCTACCTAGAAATTATAACTTTTGAATACCGAGAAAAACTTTTCTTCGATATCACATATCGTTCTTTCGAATCCAAACGCTTTCGAATCTATTTGAAAATCTTAACCTTGGACACAGCAGCAAAAGAGGAACAACGAATGCACGCTCATATATACACGTGATCAATGATGTCGAAGCGTAAGATAGCGTTTAGCAATGCTAATTATCACTTTGTCATCATCGCAAAGCGAGAGATACGAACGGGCAATTATACGATACAGTTGCTGTTGAAACTTCCAATCGAGTCATCTTGGACATCACGCTCCTAGAATAAATCGATGAATAAAATTAGATTGATTAAAATTTATAGCGTTGCGTCATAAGAGAGAAATACAAGTTTAAAAAATAAAAGTTAAGAGTAACGCGCTTTAATTTAACTTTTTGTCAATTTTTGCAGAGAACTATTAATTAACTATTAATAATTTTGCGTTAAAATCTTTCCGTTGACGTCAAGATCGTTTGATTGCCAATTTTGGTCCGTTGATTCGTTTGAAATCCTCATCAAATTTTATCCAATTTCATCCGATTTACATTATTTAAAAAAAGTATGTTTCCCTTCTCGAATCGGCCCGTATACGTATAATCTACGTATGTTTCCCTTTTGTCCGTCCTGTCTGCGAAATGATTGCCCTATTCCGTTCTATTTCTGTCGTTCGTACGCGTCCTGTACAATCGATCGAAAGTTCTGCGCTACTACTCAACAAACTTCCTTCCTGCGAAACGGGAGCGAGCAAAGGACGTCCTATTCGTATCAAGGATATGACCTGTCAAAAGTGTATGCGGAGATGACTTTACGTGACAATTAACGCCACAATATATTCCCCGGTATTATATATTCCTCACTTGAGTTATTTGAAAATAACTCACGTGTACAGCACATTGCAATGCACGTGCAATGCACATCCCCTTTAGCTTCTTTAGCCTTAAAAACATTTTTTTAAATTCGAAACGTACGTCGATAATAAAATCCTTTGAATAAGCACAGTGTTAGCGCCAATGCGTGGCGACCGAGACGAGAGAACATATCACGCATGCGCGCGTACTATATTACGCTTGGCATAATTTTTTTCGCGTTTAAACGCAAAACGCGTTCAGTATCGATTATGATATTTGTTTCATAAACGTGAAACGCCGCCGTGGACGAGCTGCGCGTGCATAGCTCGTAAAAGCTTTCGCCTAGAAATTGAATACAGCGTTTGCGCGTTTTACCAACTACCGAACATGCTTATCGATACATTATAGAACAATTTTCCGCGGCACTAATCGTAATGTCTCTTTAATTTCAATGTCGTGAAACGAAACTGTCGCGGGCAAAGTAATCAGTTACGAAGAGCGAAAGTTTCCGTCCCCGTTCGATTAGATGCCACTTTATCCGGCTGGTACCAAGCTAGACGTACGTGCTGGTTTTGCAACCAGTCTGCGTCATAAAAGTCATAAAAGTCATCAAACTGCATGCCTGCGCGGTGATTTAGCGCTACGTTAGGCTGAGCGTTGTCTCGAAAATTAATTATGCTTTACGAACATGTGTCGTACACTACACGATGATTATCATTCTCTTTTTTCTTCTTTGTCTGTCTCTTCGTATCGCGCTCTCGTTGTTGCAACTGACAGAGACTCATGTATATGTGTATCGCTTCTCTACTGCAAATACACGTTTCAAGTATCTACTACGATAGATCAAGTTCAAATTCGATTTGAGAATAGAATAAATATTATCATACAATTATTAGTACTACCATTCGATCATACGTGTACTCGCATGTGGCATGGCAGTTTAATACTTTTTTCATGCAAAAGTGGCATAACGGACGTTATGGACGTACCATGGACGTCATGTTGAATGAGATACGAATATGTCCTAGGACTTTGAATACGGCTTCAAAGTCCTTTATACTTACTTTACTCGCAATAAAGATGTTATTAAAACTATTAACTAGGTGTTTATCACATTGGTATACGCCTACGATTATTTTTCTAGTCAACGTATTATAAATATATAAATTTTTCGTAACATACATATACAATTTACAAAGTTTACACCCTATATATCTTTAAAAAATATGCAGAGAGCATTTTTGCGAAGCCCAAATCATAAAAAAATCCAATATTTTGTGAAATCATGTGTCATGTCAGAGACCAAATGATAATTCGTTTTCACTCAAACCGATAACTTAAATAAAAATAATATTTGCAAGACCCTGTTATTTTTGAGTAGCTGTGCGATCAAACTAAAGATTATAAATCTGAATGAGATGATAAAAAAATTCTCTCTCTCTCTCTCTCT